ATAAATAAATAGGTAATAAGTAAATGTAGCTAAAATTTATAATACGAGTTAATTAGTCTTAAACAAAGATATTGCAAATTTCAATAAGAGATTGCCTTAAAAGAAAGTTCTTATTTCTGTTTCGGTTTCGACCGAAACTAAGAAAGGAGCCGAAATTGGGTTTCGGTTATAAAACCGTATTTCGGTCGGACCTGACAAGCCAGGTAGTTAAACGAGGAGAGGAATAGTAATCGAACGTGCAGAATTTAGCGCGCCTGACGATCATTAGACAAGTCTGGCAAGGCTTTCGGGGTATTCCACATTAGCCAGATTGTATTTTAAGCTGTTATCATAATATACATTTTTCTAGTACTGAGGACACTTGTAACAGGGATCCTTACTGGGCATTGCCAACTAAAAGGACACCTTAGTAAACTTAGAGTAGTAGAAAATAGTGAGTGAAGATTCTGTAAGGAGAAGGACGAAACCTTCATTTACATTCTAACTGAATGTTTAGCACTCCAGAATCCAAGGGCACTATACCTAGGAGCATATCAAATAGAAACTTGAAGCCACTCCAAATCCTACACTTCCTTGAGAAGATATAATTGAAAGGGTCGTTATAGGCATTGAGACATTTCCTTGCTGCATTAGCGACACAAGGGGGCACAATAGATATTTTAGGTCGCAGTGTATTAACACCCCATTCCCAACATAACATAACATAGCGAGAAAACTGCAAAATAATGAAATCCACAAATCCCAGTTCATATTTTGGACATCTAACTACTATTATTTTTAAAATTTTAAATTCTGACAAACTGTCAGTATATTTTTTAGTCATTAAGATTACATATCAGTGGCGAAGCGTACGGGTAGACAAGGTAGACATTGTCTACCCAAAATTCTACACAAAAGATTTCTTTTTTTATTTTAAAACAACGCTTTTATAAAATAATTATTTTTATTAATGTACTTTTAACTTTATTAGCCATCCAAAAAATTACAGCATTGTATCAAACTATAATATAAAGAGTCTGCACTTATAAATAAAATAGCCGATCGGGCTAAGGGTAAACATATTGGGATTTGTCTTTCAATAACACAAACCAGTCAAACCACATGCGGCGGGCGTATCCAGGACTGGCTGAAAGTGTTGGCCGATGTCGATATAAGCACGGAAATATCGGACAATGGAAAGACACTTGCTCGTTTGTCTATCTTGTTGACCAGATATTTCTTACGGTGAGATATATGGCGTTTGGGATCGTATGCGACTTCGACTTTATATGGTCTATTTCCAATATTTCTATATTTTAGTTTTCAGTTCAGTGTTTCTTTTTTTTTATGTTTAGTCTGTTAAATGCGCTTGTGGGTGGCAGAGTAATAATTATTTTAAATTTTTTGTTCGCCTTCGTTTGTTCGGTAATAAAATGGCAGATATAGAAGATCCGATTATTTATGTAAAACAACGTAGTTTTTCATCACTATCTCTCGAAGAAAAATTACTTTTGAAAAATTCCCAAAAGCGGCCAGAATTAAATATATCGCAAAAAGATGGAAAAACTATTCGAAAATTTCAAAAAAGTTGGTACGAATCCTTTAGCTGGTTGACGGGAAGTGTTAATACGAATGCATTATATTGTTTTCCCTGTAATCTGTTTGATGGAGAGGAACCCTGGGCAAAATCTGGTGTTGATGTGGTAAAAAATTTTGTACAGAAAGCCAATAGACCTTTTCATCACAATTTTTTTTTTGTGCGCATGCGTCAGTTTCAGCCATCTTTTTCGTACTGTTTTTGTAAACAAGTATGTTAAAATGCTTACGTGAAAAAAATTATAATTGATAAATATTAATTTAAGTCTATATTCATTTAAAAAAATGAAGAAAAAAGTAAAGTAATAATAAATTTAGTGTCTTAATTAAAAAATACATTTTCACAATCAATTATAATTATGTTATCTGTACGGAAAGGAATAACGAAACAGTGTTGTTATGTAAAAGTGACACACGGTATAAATCATTCGAAGGCAATAGATATTATTTTATAAATTTTCCAAAGCCTTAACTGCAATATCGTAAACAATTATCAGGCAAAATCCATATTAAAAGATATTCGAAATGTGCATTAAGTGTGAAAAAATATGGTCGAAGTGACAACGGTTTTCGATGGATTAATGATGTTACTAAAGATACTTATATTTCACTGCATTTTCATGGAGAAAGTGGTCCAACAGAAGAAAATTCTCATGTGGTATTAAACAATATTTTTTTAATATTAAATACTACTTCGGTATACACATTAAATGATTAAAAATGTCATGTTGATCCTCAAAATAATAAATAATTTATTTTATTAATTATACTCATGATTAACTTTCATGCTAATTAAAGTGTTTTTGCAAGTAGTAATAGTTGGCTGGCATAATTAATTAGAATAAAGTTATAATTATTATTTGTTTTCATTAATTTTTTACAGAGTTAAAAAGTATTGATACACCTAACCTCTCAATTAGTCCACTTTGTTCCTTTGTAACAAACATCCAAGACACTTCAACCTCCTTTTCAACTGCTCACAACTATGCGCTTCCACAGATTTATAAAAAAGTTATTCACTATCAACGATTTTTTCTAATGATTAATTTTTCTGTAGAGATAACATTGCTTTCCCAGCCATTGTCGATCAAAACAGTACGAAACTTTTGAATTACCGCTAATTCAACATGGTGGCTGCGCTTGCGCTCATCACATGATGAAAAGGTCTATAAACACGCATCTTCAAAAAAGCACATTTCCTGCAATGAATTTTTTTGTATGCTCGGAAAGGTGCGTATAGATCACGCCCTCGTTGAAGCGCAAAAAAAGAATGCCCAACAACATAATGAGAACGTTAGAAAAAATAGGCATATTGTTGGACGATTAATTGACGTGGTATGCTTTTTGGCGAAACAAGAACTCGCCTTTAGAGGACACCATGAGACAGCAGACTCAAAAAATAAAGGTAGGTACCTAATAGTTTTTTTTTACCAAACTAAAAGTAACAAAAATATTTTTTAAGGAAATTATTTAGAGCTTTTGGAGCTGCTTGCTATGGAGGAATCCACTATGAAAGATCATTTGGAAAGCAATTCAGTTTTTAAAGGAACATCTAGTGACATTCAAAATGATCTCATCGAGTCAGTGAAATATGTAATCCAGGAAATTATTTTAGAGGAATTAAAGAATGCTGACTTTGTTTCTATTCAAGCAGATGAAACAACAGATGTTTCTTGTCGGGCACAGTTCAGCAAAATTGTAAGATATATTTATAAAAATGAAATAGTTGAGAGATTTCTCGGTTTTTATGACGTTTCCAGTAATAAAACGGCAATAGGACTTAGCACAAAAATATTAGAAGTTTTAAACTCATGCCAGATAGGCAAAAATAAACTTGTATCACAAACTTACGACGGAGCTAGTGTGATGTCTGGGTCAAAAGGTGGCGTACAAACTATAATAAAACAAACTCATCCTCAAGCACTCTTTATACATTGCTATGCTCATCAGCTGAATCTAGTTCTTTTACATAGTTCTAAACAAATTCAAGATGTAAAACGCCGGGCGAAAGAAAATCAAAAATTTAAATTTGTTTAGGAATGAATGACGATTCCAAAAATAATTTTTGTTTTAAGAATAGACAGTGGCGTACTATTTTTTTCTTCAAAAATATTCAATGCAAAACCGGTACGGACGCCACTGCTAAAAATTATAAAAAAAATTTTACATCAGAAAATGCATCTTCATTCGTAGAAGACGTGTGCTAAATTTCATAAAGATATCTACAATAGTATCACAGTTATTATAAAAAAACTATATTTTTTTGAAAATTTTACCGCCCTGTATCTCAAAAGTTAGGAGGTTTAGGACATAAGTCCATATGAAATTTTTTTCTTAAAATGAGCCCAAGAATCACGCCCTTAAATATTAGCATATCATTATAGTATATAATATTTTTATGATAATTATATGATGTGTATTTATAAGAAGGTTGAATTTTATTTTTTGTCTACCCAGAAAAAAAACTCACGCTTCGCCACTGTTACATATACGTTAAAATTAGTTATTTTTGTTTAGAATCGATCAAAAATAACATTTTAATTTTATTTGGGCCACATTTAAAAAAGTAAATTTTAATCAAATCGTATGAAACTAATTTAATTACGAGTATTAAAATTAAAAACCTAAAAGTGGCGGTGGAGTGGAGGACAGAGCATTTGCCTTCCACGCGAATAGCCTGGGTTCGAATCTGGACTATAGGGGCTAATTTTTTTTTTATGTTTTTTATTTTATAAATTAATAAAATTTATAAATTATTTTAAAATGGCTTATTTTGTCTAAATCTAAAATAATTTTTTAAATTTGTAGATTTTCGTTAGTAGTTCGTAGAAAAAATATACTGCACAACTCGAGTGGATTGTCCATATCTACTCTTGTTGCGAAAATTAGGGAAATTTTTGTGATGAAAATTATTGTGATGAAAATTATTCAGTTTTTTCACTTATATATGATATTTTATTCATTTTCATAGATTCGCCAGAATTTTTTTACTTAACTTCAGTATACCTTTAGAACTATTATATATTACATGACTAGGGTTAGGGCTTTAGCCCCCCCAGATCTGATGACATAACTTCGCCCATGAATTGAATTGATTTAAAATATTAAAAGAAAAACGGAAAATGACGTAGCAACTTTACATTTTTTCGTTTGGTTATTTGCGAGGAATAATTTTGATAGTGATAGTATTGTTATACAGAGTGATCAATGTTTGAATTTCATAGCTACACCATTGATTAAAAAAAAATTGAAAGGCATCACATGTTGGCAGCAATATGGGCCACAAAACATTTAAATTCGTTAAATTCACGTCTCTGGAATAGACGGAATACTTGTGATTGTGATAAGACAACATATTACCAGTTACTTAAATTACAATTATCATTTTTGTATGAATTACTGAATTTGAAAATATTAAATATTACCTTGTACGAAGAAAAGGCATAATAATACCGGCGCCTGTAGCAACTAATAACAAAATTACTTGAAGTACAGTGAGCAACACGTTGATTAGTTTAACAACTAGCGCTCTGGCATTCGAGTTATCGAGACCTTCAAGACTAACGTACTGTTGTTGCTGGAGAGCTTGATGTTCCATTTTTTGAATCTATAAAAAAATAAATACAAAAATATGATTCTTGAATGGGAAGTTTTAGTACATATCTCAAATATACAGAGTTGGTCAATGAAAACAATCAACCGGATATTTGCAATAATTATTAAACAAATGCACCACTACAAAAATTGATTATATCTTTGAAAAAGTAATGTTTTTCAGTTATAATTCTGAATTTATAAACCGCAGACGAATGGGTGCTAATTCTTTGTATGTGTCAAAACAAATTCCTCACCATACTCTTATACGATCGTCTGGAGATTTTAGACTTGCTCTTGTTTCATATGCGAACCAAACTTTCTACCAGTCATCGATAATCCAATATGTGATCTGCAGAAAGCAACAATGAAGTGGCAGATTTTCATTTAGTAATTTTTTAGTCACCTTTTAGTCTTATTTTTGTCTTATTTTAAGTCTTCTTTTAGTTTTCTCCTGGCAGTTGAAATAGAAATTCTAGTATATATGGCAGTTTTGAATTGAGGACTTATCTCTTACTTGTATATTGTCACCTTCGTAACACCTGTTGTCAATTTGTGAGTCCCTCTTTCTACCCTGGTCACTTTTTCCATTGTGTGTTCTAGTTTTCCTAAATCTTCAACATTCGACCACCTAATTAATTGTTCACATAACACAACATACTTTGTGTTCCATTCATGTTTTTTAGAGAATAGTGTAAGCTTTGTCTTAGGAATTAATCTACTGACTTATCACGTGAAAAAAATTCACTTAAACAAAACAGCAACTTTAAACTATACACGCACCAAACTGAAATAAAATTTATTCTATCTGTTCTTCTGAATCAACAACTTCTCCAAAATTTCATATTCATATATCTCTTCAATTGGGTACTCCATACATTTTAATTTATTAGATAATAAAGTATAAAAATAACATCGTTAATGTAACTAATAATTTAGAATATAATGCATTACTTTCCAATTAAAATGTTAAAACTATACTTTCACTTACTTTGGTCTGACAGTGCTCCAGCATCTCGTGGATATCCCTCAGCCTTTCCTCACTTTGGTATTGCACTTTTTCCTCCATATCGGCCATTGCTTGTTTCAGATTCTCCACTTCATTTTGATGAAGTTCCGTCAAGTCATTGATTTGCTCTTCCAGTCTTTCACTTCTAAACCTTTCCTCCTAAGGCACAAACAAACACAACATATACAGTATGTCATAAAAATATTTTGAAATACTAAATAATCACCACGAGTTATCTGTATATTGAAATAAAAACATTGAAGTATTCGCAAGTGTTTACCTGTAAAGCGGAGTTGAGGTCGTGTATCTCTTGTTGTAAGGATTTAATAATATCAAAGTTTTCCCTAAAATTGTCTAATTGATCCTGTACCAATCTAATTTTCTTATTTACATCTGTGTATTTGTCATGTCCTTCTCTAGCGTATCTGAAAATTAAAATTTCCTAACAAATTCGGAGCATCATAAGTATTAAAATACTAACTTGGATACTAGGCATTAAAAGATATTCAAAAATTGAGGATAATATAATAGAGATGTTTTTTAACTGTTTTAAATTATTTTAATGCATTTTTGAAAATATCAATATTAGAATATATTGTCTCGATTTCTTATTAAATAAACTCAATCCCCGAATATTTGACATTAGGAGGCAATAAAATATAAAGTTTAGGATCCACATATGTTATAATCTTTGACTCATAATCACGTTGAAAAAAAAAAGGAATACCAAATTATTATAAAGTCTAGCTCTAGTGTTATATAAATTATAAATGTATTATTGTGGTTCTTGGTTTAGTTTTTTTTTTTATAAACGTACATCAACAGTGGAAGTATAACGTTCTTAAGCCAAGCACTTTATTTATATAAAAGTGCACTAATGTTTGGGCTTTTATAAATTATAATTATCTCTCAATATGTCTTTGCCTCCTTACCTTCCTATACTATCACTTGTAACGCTACTGCATTCGCTGCCTTCATCACTCACAAATTTGCCTGCCGAATGATGCTGATGGCCGTGTGGAGTCGCACCGGTGACTACTTTACCATGCGGACCGATAGAAGACTGCGAGACGGTCCCGTGCAAAGTAGCAGGTAACGTCGCAGATCCGTGATGATGGTGGTGGCTTTTGTCTCCGTGATCACTGCCCCCGTTTGTGGGCACGCCGCTACCTTCGCTGCCTGCCGGTTGACGAGAGACGGTCATATCTCCACCCTTGCCGGTCGCGGCTCCACTTCCTTCTTGGCCGGGCCCTACGTACCACGCTACGAATTAAGGGGGCGAACCGGTTAGGGTGGTGTGCATGTGTAAGTGCAAGGCCGAGGGGGACATGCCTTTATTAGTGTTTTTTTTTTTGTTAGCTACTGGGTGTCTCAGCAAATGTTTTTACGATGTTTAGCTGCATTCATTCAAATATATGAGCCTGATAAGCTTTGACAGATGTTTAAATTGGGTAATTTGAAGTTCATGTCATTCAGGCATTCAGATCACATTCTCAAAGTTTATCAAGATCACATATTTTAAAGAAAATTCTTGGAACTGGCTGAGAGTCTTTCTAACAAATTTTTGTTCTCACTAATTACGAATACGTCGTCAAAATGAAGATTTTTCCGGAGCTACCAAAATCTTTTTTGTATGTATATTTTACATACAGTATTGCCAATCAACTAAATTTTAAAATTCCCACAATTTTTCTCAAAATAACAAAAACATTTACATAGAATAAAAAATACTATTTCATAAAATAATATAGGTATATATAAAATAAAAATATTTTGGTAAAAAATAGTAATGATGTTGAAGTTACAAATAATACAAATTAAAATACGAAGAATCGAAATATAAAAAATCAAAAACAGAAAATCGGTTTTAAAGGACGTCAGAATTTGTCAATTCAATGACCACCAATCCCAAATACATTAAACAAAAATCACAAACAACAAGAATAGGGGTATCAAATACTCTCAATATCAACCAAAATCAACGTGTACAAAATATTCTCATATTTTAAAATTGTTTTCCTTTTTCCTTATATTTGTAGTAAAAATTTACATAATATGGAAAAATTCCCACAGATTGACAACACTGCATGCAAATATAGTATAATGTTAACTGATTTGATATATAAAAACTATTTAAAAATAAGTTAGCAAAGCCAAAACTTTCATTGGAGTAATGTGGGTGACAATTTATTGAGTAAAATAATTATGTGACATTTTATTTATTTAATGTCCATATTTTTAGAAAACTAGTAATATTAAGGCTAATTTTATCACCTATTATTGATGAGACGCCCTTATTTGTTAAGCATATTGTAGTTAAGTGCATGATAAAAGGCTTGTAAGCAGAAATGATTCATGCAAAAATAGTAATGTAATGCAGTGTGCAATAGAAGTATGGCATTTGAGTATTATTTTTTGACAAAATATAATCGGCCAAATCAACACATTTTTATTAAAACATATTTTGTTGGTCACACAATATCACCTCTTAAAACTTTATAATATATAAAGAAATTAAAGCACCATTTTATAATGATGTTAATAAATAAACAAGGATAATTTCCTGACCGAAGTAGAATTTTATGTAAATAAAAAATTCCTTGGTTGTATCAGTCACAAGTTTTTATTTTTTAATTTACAATTCACAACATATATGTTTCGGAAAACAATCTTCCAGTGCTGTCAATATAATTTTAAAATCAACAATTTTTAAATTGTTTATTTTTGCCCTCCGATGTTTTTAAAATTATATTTACAGCACCAGAAGATGGAAACGATAGTTTTCGAAACATATGTTGTGGTTTATAAAATAAAAACTTATGACTGATACAACCAAGGAACTTTTTATTTATATAAAAAAGATATTAATAAAGTATTATCTTCTGAATGCGATACCGATCCACTTGAGTTGAACAGTATTTGTTTTCTACGACCAACTAACGAAAAATATATATTTTAAAAATATTTTATTCAAGCATGTTTGGTTTAATCGTCTCAATTTTAATCAGAGTATCTTCAGTTGTTCTGTGTCCTATTTTAAAATAAATAAAAACAATGAATATTTGGCCGGATACTAAATGTGTGGTGGATTACATATCTTTACTAGAATGAATATGAAAATATTTCTATTCAGTAGATTGATACTTCTATAATTTGTACTCACACATAGTTTCTTTATACATTATGCAGTTTATGTAATTCCTTCCATACTAGTAGTGCACACTGTAAGTTTTAGAAGTTAAATTCATGCTAAACTAGTAGATGATGGGGATTATTTTAATATACAGTTAAATAAGTAATTTACACTAGTACGAGTGTTGCCTTTTATATTTCGTCCTTAGATAATAAAAACAAATATTTATCATCGGAAATGGGTATCTTGTTTTTCAAAATATTTTCAAAAGTACTTATTCCACTCCGATTGAGGTACCAAAACAAGCATTTTGAATGCATCAACCGCTTCTTCAGGTGTCGAAAAACGTTGACCTCGCAATGTATTTTTGATTTTCTGGAATAAAAAGAAGTAATTGGATGCCAAATCAAGAATATACAGTGGATGACTCATCAATTCGACGTTTTTTTTTTGACTGCTCAAAAAACACTTGATTGTGACGATGTGTGAGACCTTGCATTGTAGTGACGGAAAATGATCTATCTTCTGCAGGTTTCCCTTAATTAAGTCCATCGATGTACTGTTGTTGAGTTAATCCCATCGAAAGTTGTAAAAAATAATCACGCGGAAATATTCACGACTTAATTTAATTTTTTGACCAGAACGAATTTTTCAAGTTACTGTAAACACAAATAACGTTGAGACGTCCAAAACATTCCGAGTATGTTTACCGTCAAAAACTTCAAACTTTAGAATACAGACTTCAGTTGAGAGGTGGCAACACCAGCGTTGTCCAATCCCGAAATATAAAAGGCAACCCATCGTATGTAACTTTTTAATTCGAATGTGTTATAAAGCGTAATTTTTCGGACAGATAACATAATCGAAAAGGAGAACTTTTAAATATACTACAAATGAACTGCTATAAAGTACTTTTGCGGCCTGGGCAGCTTTGCTATCTAAACATTCGGTTTTATTTTCAGGTTACCTTTTAATACTGCTGGCGATTTTTTTGCTATTGTAAAATAGTAGTCTATAATCCACATGTACATCAGATTTGAATAAAAACATTTTTAATTGAATAAAAGAAAACTAAATAGACGATAAATCGACTTGACATAAGCACACTGACATGACAGCAATTGTTCAATTATTACTAAGAATATACCTACTTATTCTTATCGATCACAGCCAATTTTATTATTATCGATCACAGCCATCTGTTATATGAAAAATTGGAAATAATATTTTCTATATTTTTTAATATTTATAAGCACATTCGAATAAAAAATTATGTATGAAACACGGACGAAAAGTTCATTATTGGACTCCTACGAGTTGCCAGGCTCGACTACGTCTCGCCTGGCAAACTTCTCGTAGGCGCCCGAAAAATTCAACTTTTCGTCCTTATAATATAAACTACATATTATTATACTGAAGAAAAATGGAAATATCAAAAATAATGATTGTTTCAAAAATGTTAGTTATTCAAAATAATGGAAAATTGTTTAAAAAAAAGTTGTTGAAACATTTTAAATCAATTTTTTATCATTATATAAAAACAAGACCGAGGCTTTAAATATATTGAGGGATTTAAAAGTTGATTCTTTTTTTTTAATGGTACAAAGTCAGCAAAGAAAAAATATGTTTAAAAAAGTTAATAAATTAAACACATACCTTTATTTCTCATTTTTTTTAAGAAACCAAAAACTTAAGTTCCTCCCATTATTAATGAACTAGAACCAACTCCACAGTGAGCCAAAAGCGACGAAGAATAATCAGAATTATTTTCTGAATACTTAGCTAAAGTATTTATACCCAACAATGACACCACACAAAATATTGAGGTAGAAAGAGAGCTACTCGATATCCCATTAAATATACCAGCCATCAAACAGCTAACCACAAACGAAGTACAGCAAAAGATTAGCTTAGCCATTTTATTCAGATTTTTGTCCCCTTATAGAGTTTGATTTTTGAAAAAAAATTACAAGTTGATATTGTTCATTATTGAAATAGGATTTTTTAAATATTTCAACTACATTAACCCCCCATTTTATTCAAAATTTCATATTGATATGGCGTTTCGTTTTTGATTTTTTTTTCAACACCTCTTAAACCCCCCATTTTTATTAATTTTTTTTTTTAAATCAATAGGTTTTGTCCCTTTATAGAGCTTGATTTTTCCTGATATTTTCAAGTTAATAGGTAATTTTTCGTTTTTGACTTATCGTGCGGACAAAAAAACGTTACATCGGACGGATGGACAAAGTACAGACTACTGTATGAAGAGGCAAAATCAGTCCCAAGTGACTTTGACACTAAGAAGAGATCAATGGTCTCCAATTTTTTTAAACAGACTTTTAAGGTGTTCGTTAAGCATAACCCTCAGAACATACAAATAATCTTAAATAGACTACCGAGAGAAAAGAGATTTCTAATAAACTTCCAAAAGGCTATGGTAATCTTTATACTGAAAGGCATTGCTGACACTGTAGAAGCTCAGAAATATAGACCAATCTGCCTCATAAGCATAATGGGGAAGTTGCATGAACAGGTTATTAAAATCAGACTAGAAAAGGAACTGGCCTCAAAAGAAGGTTTATCAGACAGACAGTATGATTTCAGGAAAGGCAGTAGGAGAGGTCATGAACAGGGTCAAAGGAAACAAAAGCACATGGGTAGCGCTCGTTGTAAAGAACGCATTTAACACTGCATCATGGAAACTGATCACATATTGACTTATTTATCTAGAAATTTCGCAGTATCTAAATGCATTGATTCATATCTATTTCTCTGTAATTGATGGAAATGTATTAGACATAACGCAAAAAGTGTCACAAGGATCCATACTGGGCCCTACATTATGGAATATAATGTTTAACTGAACATCACAATACCTGGAGGCGGGTTTAGCCTCGCATACGCTTTGATAGTAACGGCGAAGGACAAACGAAACCACATAGAACACGGAAACGAGGCTTTAGAAGAAATTAAATTTGGGATTAAGGAAAACAAACGAACTGCCAGTTAATAAAACCGAAGCAGTGGTAATGGAAAAGAGAGACAAATCGGGTGTGATATTTAGCATAAGAGGATCAAGAATATAATCCAAAGACTGTCTGAAATATCTAGGATTGATTCAGAAATCCAAACCTAAACGGACCCAAGCCTAGCAAAAGGACGTTATACATCAACGTTGCACAATCTACACTACTGAGTGATGCGAAAGAATGGACAGAGGTGCTTGAAGTACAAAAATATAGAGACATGGTTAGAGCACACAGAAAAATGGTATTCAGGACTATAATGGGATACAGAACTATTGCCACGGAGGCGACCTATGTAATAGCAGGATTTACTCATGTGAATTTGTTAGTGAAAGAGCGGAAACATTAGATAGAACATGACACCATGTGAGGCAAGAAAAAGACAAGCAAAAGAGGGTACAATAAAAAAATGGCAAGAAAGGTGGACTGAAAACACCACAAGAGGACAGTGGACAAAGACGCTGATCCTCCTATAGAGAAATGGGTCAACTGTAAACACAGGTATATGAACTACTGGATGACACTGTTACTAAGTGGCCACGGATGCTATGGCTTCTTTACACATAAGAGTGGCAAAAAATTGGATGAGCTGTTATTACTGCAACAATATAGGCACCGCCGAACACACTGTTTTCTCATGCTAGAGATGGCAAAACGAAAGAGAGGAGATGGAAGAAATCGTAGGTTAAAGGTTAACACCGGAAAATGTAACTGGATACATGATAAGCAAAAAAGAACATTTTAAAAACGTTGAAAATTTTGTGAGTCTTATAATGTGTGAAAAGGAGAGAGAATAAAACATTTTCCAGCAAGCCAAAAGAAGGACGATTCAGCTGTGTCCTACTCACCTGAGATCGGTTTACAAAAGGAAATATTAGTAATGTTAGCAACTATAGGCCGATTACTATTATTAATAATTTCTCCAAAATATTTGAAATTTTGTTACACTGCTCATTATCATACCACATGTCTCACCTAATATCGCCGTACCAGCATGGATTCATGAACAAAAAATCTACCGTATCCAACCTGACTTGTATTACTCAGTATATCAGTGGAAAGTTAGATCAACAAAGTCAAGTAGATGGTATATTCACTGATTTTAGTAAAGCCTTTGATAAGCTCAACCATTGTTTACTAGTCAATAAACTTATCTTTTATGGGTTATCCCCAAATTTAATTTCTCTCTTTCAGTCATATCTAAATGGAAGATTTCAGTTTGTTCAATATAAAGGTTTCAAATCAGCTCTATTTTTACAAAAGTCCGGTGTACCCCAAGGTTCAATATTAGGACCACTTCTCTTTAACATTTTCATTACTGATATATCAAATAATTCCCAGTACCTACTATATGCTGATGATCTAAAAATATATGAGGAGATACGTTCAATTGATGATTGTAGAGATCTCCAGAAATCTTTAGAAAGAGTTGATGAGTGGTGTGAATCAATTACTTTGCCTTTGAATCCGTCTAAGTGTAATACTATGACATTTAGCCGAAAAGTAAACCTAATAGTATTCGACTACAGTTTAGATGGTACTATAATAATTAATAGAACTGATTATATTAGTGATTTTAGTGTCATACTTGACTCAAAATTAACGTATTCCAAACATGTAGACAAAATTATATCGACTGGTAGCAAAATGCTTGATTTTGTTATAAGAAATGGCAGAGTCCAATAGCGTAGAAACTTTAAAACTTTTGTACCTTTGTTTTGTTAGATCTAGATTGGAATATGCCAATGTAGTTTGGAACCCTATGTATATTATGTATATTAACAACCTTGAAAATATTCAGAGACGGTTCATGAAGTTGGCCTCGTACATTTTGGATGGTCAGTATCCTCCTAGATGTTTTCTGCATAGCGATTTGTTATTAATATTTAATTTAACGGAACTAAAATATCGCAGAGCATCACATCAATTACTCTTCCTATATAATCTTTTACATAAAGTGGACTACCCTGAACTAATGAAATATATATCACTTGGAGTTCCTAAACGGACTACGAATTTGTGTAAGTTTTCAACTAACAACTGCTAGGACTAACACCCTATCTTCTTCGCCAATGCAACAAATGGTCAAAGTTTATCACAATCTGGAGGATCGCCTAGATATATTTTGCACTAGCCCAAAATAAATAAAATCAATTCTTAATCTTAATGAAAATTAATATATCAATTAACATTTTAATTAATCTATTTTATATAACTGTTTTATAGAACTTTTAAAGCATTTTTACAAACATACATTTTTTTTCACATACTGTGTTTTGTTTTCAAGCATATATGTCTGTAACTTATGCACAACATATGTTGATGCTTTTTTGTATAAATGTTTACTTTTATATTCTAACTTATTTTTGTATTTTGTACATTATCCCTGTAATTGGCATAAGCTGTTAAGCTATTGCATAGCTTTTATCGCGGGCTTTGAGCGCGGCGACCGAATCAAGAAATTCCGTAACAACGTAACGAAAAAAAATCTAACACCCCCACTCCGACCGGCACAGCCGTGCGGCGTTAAACAATATTAACTTCTCATTTATTCAATAAAAGAAAATCGAAAAACCGAAAAATCGAAAAAGAAATTTCCTAACGATAATAAACCTAACGTCGTTTCAGTTCGGCAGACTTCGGCACGGTGTTTGTGTGCGTGCGACTAGACGTATGCGTGTAGATTAGCTGCTAACTGCTCATAACTGATTCTATCTCTTTTAGACACAATTTCGGAAAAATTGAATTTTAAAATGAATAATGATCCACAAGAATCCACAACAAAATATGGGACCAACACTGACGCAGTATTTTCCAGATATTTAGAGGATATCAAGTCTCAAACTTATGTTTCTTATTCCAGTTACCATAAACCTATAGTTTCAATGATTCCTGAATAACCTACATGTATTGTAAGATAATAAAAATATTTTAAACAATATTAACTTCTCATTTATTCAATAAAAAAAAATGTGTTTTCTTATCGGTTACCACGCTCAAAAAATGTAACTTGAATAAATATCAAAGAAAAAAAAATACTACATAAATAAAATAAATAAATAAATAATTATAATTGCATAAGTTGATAAAAAATGCTATGCAATAGCTTTACCGCGGCAGTCCCCGAGTGCCACACGTATTTTTTTTTTTGTAATGTAACTAATAAATAAATACGGGCCCTAGTTGTTTCCAAGAAAATATTTTTGATATTAATAGCTTTGTAAAATAATAATTATGTAACTATTTTGTATCTTAAAATAAATAAATAAAAAATAAAATCATAGTGTGTGTTAGCACCACTCAAAATTTTTTTCTATAAGCTTAAACTTTAAAAATCAACTTTCAAATCATCCATAATTTGTTGTTTTTCAATCACTTTGAACAACTACATTCTATTAAACGTCATATTTATAAATAAAATTAATTTGCATACTTACTTGAGAGTTGGCTAATATTATCAGCACTACCAAATTTATTCTTTATTAAATGAGCAAATTCTCTAGGTTTTGACATCACTGAACCACCTACATAACTGATACCATCTCTTATATTACCTCCAACATTTCTACAAAGAGGAACGCCATTAATTTCAATTTTGTTAGTTTTTTTGTATATATTTTGCAAACTAATTATTTATTTTTTTTTGCAAAAAAAAAAGAATTGCATACTTTAGTCCTTGTCCCATGTCCCTAAGAACTTCCCTGGGTGGTCTGTGACTTTGAGCTGCTCCATAGGTTTCTAGTTCATGTACACGTTTTTGATAAATATCTAATTTTTTTTGTAACTGAGATATAACTTGTGCACTTTTCTGATTTTTCTTTTCAAACACGGCCTTTATCCTTTGCACCTGTTGCTTATCAGCGTTAGCTGCCAATTTAAGGTATTCATTCACGTTATCTATAATAAAAAAAAAATGATTTAGTCCAGATTATTTTCCATAATCAAAGTCAGGCTACTACTCGTATTTTTCTTTTTTTTTAATTAAAACTTTGTTTAGGATTTCTGATTATCATATAATTGCGTAGAACTTTTTAATTTACGACATTGACTAATGTAGATGGGGAAAGACTAATTGCCCTAATTCTCAAATTATCTTTAAATTTACCCACATGTAAATCCTTAAAGATAGAATAATGAATATCCAATAGAGTTGGGCGATATTTCACAAATTGTTATTTAATTATTTTAAACTTGTTAAATTTACATTTGTTTTTCTATTGATTTCTTAAATGAAGACACAAGTAGATGAAGGGCCTATGTAACATTTTTTTAATGGTGTTTTTCTGTGAATGAAGGGCTTATGTACCTAAAATTCGTTTAAAATGTCTTCCGTGACAATATATCATCAAATATAAAAGTTGCCAGTGGATAAAGGACCCATGTACTAGGGAATAACTGCCAAACAAACGAAATATCTCGTAAAAATTATTTTGCTACATAGGCCCTTCATCCACTTGTGTCTTCAAATATGTATTTTTGAGAAACATATTAATGAATATTTAATTTGATTTGAGGAAACATAAACTCATTTATTTTGAATGTTACTAATCACAGTAATGATTCAGAGTGTGATTAAAAAATAGTTAAAATTAACAACTCAGGGAAGCGGTCATTTTCTCAAGAAGTAACAAATAATATAGGAGTATCCCAAGGGCCAGTGTTAGCTCCCATACTTTTCACAATTTATGTAAATAAACTTCCAGAAAAACTTTACCATGCATTCACAATTATTCTCTATGCAGATGATTAGACTTTCTTGTTTTTTTTTTTGATTCCGTTGAAGAACAATTAAGAAATAAAATCGATATGTCAATTAAAATATTTTCGGAATGAACTAGTAATCTCTCATTATTATTTAATATTACAAAAACTAATTACATTTATTTCCATACACATACATCTTTTAAAAAATGTTTTTGTACTTTTATATATTTTAGAAAAAAGTGTATAAGAAATGCGTAAACAAATGTTAAATATAAAGTAAATAAATAAATGTCTTAAAATCATCAAATTTGTAAAAAAATGTCTTCACATACGACTTTTTCCCTAATAAAATTTAAAAATCACTAAGCTCAAAAGCCACAAGTAACATTATTTTTAAGTAAATCGGCAATTTCTAAGAAATATTTTTAAAAAAATATCCATAGTTTAATGCGCATCAGTGAAAATATGAACAATCTAAAGTCAATAATAATATAATATATATAATAGTTTGGAACAAATAAACATTTTCATATTTATCGCCTGATATACTATAATAAATAATAACGGTCAATTAACTAGTTAAGCAAGTATATAAAAGTCCCCTTACACTTCTTACAGACAAGTGGGAACCTGTCAAATCTTATAAATTTTTGATATGTTGTAGTTCTAGACCTCATGAGCAATAATGTCCATGGGACTTACTTTTAAGAATTAACACTTATTTATTATTTTATTGTAAGATCTTTTGGCAATCCACGAATATAAAAAGGGTAAAAAAATGTCCCCTAGAGGGCGAGTCGCAAATAAGTAATGATGTTTTTGATTCTTCTAGGTGGTAAATATATTTCCGAAAAATAAATTATTGTTACATTTACCATTTTTAATGATAAAACAAAATGTTTTTCTTACCATATATGCAGGGTGACTAGTAAATATCGAAGTAGGTCATTATGTTTTTTTTATAAGTATTAATGTGTTACGCAGTATTGTTAAGTGACTCTTATGTATTATACGAGGGGAAAATCACTGAGGATGTAGGTGTACAAAAAGGAGAATTTATTAGGATGTATGAGGATTTATGGAGGATGTATGATGATTTTTTGAGGATTTACTAGGATATAAAAATATTTAACATGAAATTATTAGCCACAAAACTATCAGAATTTTTAAATTGCCCTAAATAGGCCATGAGATAGAGTAGATTTACTGTGAAAAATTAAAAATTTATATGTTCGTCCAATTAGATGTCCTAATATCCCCTTTCAATTGCTTCCGGGCTATCTGGCTTGCATTTTTAAGGGGCGTTTTTTTTTTTGTGAAAAGAAAATGTAAAAAAAATTATTTTTTTTAGAAAGCTGTGTAAACGGCTAATCTGAAATAAAAAAAAATGTTATTCAGTCGTCATCTGGAAGATATTTGTAATAAAAAATCCCGCGTATTGTATTGTTTCATTTCGCGAGCGCTATGGGCCGAACGTATGGTCGAATTAAAATTTTTCGAATACCGCATTATACCTGAGTAAATACACAAGTTTTTTTGTTTATGTCAGTAGCTTGTACAGTTAAGAGAATGGCTAGCGCTCAAAATCGGACATAATTTTCATCATTATTTCATTTCAAAATCGCTTTATTAAAATATATACATATTTACATTCGCTCATTACACGAATAAGGGAGCGTTCAAGTATTACGTAACGCAATTTTTGGAGATTTTTAACCCCCCCCTCCCCCCCATGTAACGCGCCGTAACGTTTTTGTGAAGGTAAAAAAAGGTCAAATGGTGACTTGAAATTTTGAGAAAAAGAAACGTTTTAAAAAATGCGTGAGAGAAACTCTCTACGCGACTTTTCTGAAGGGTTAAAAATAATAATGTTGCGTAACGCATAGTTCAAACGCTCCTGTAACGCATCGTAACGTTTTACAAAAACCCCCCTCCCCCCCCAAATTCGTTACGTAATACTTGAACGCTCCCTAATTACATAGATACAGAGTGTTTCTAAAGTAATCTGAAATATTGTTGTGGGCGATTCATCGTTCAATTTTAAAACGTAGATCTCCTACAAACATGTGTAAATGGTTTTGTCGTTTGTGTGTTGACTTTTTTGTAATATACGAGCTTTGACTCTTAGTGAAAGTTACTATAAATTTTCCTTAGTGGCGCTACTGGTTTCCTAAACTATTAAGAAAGACTGTAATGTTATTCGCAACAATGGGCGTGTTTGGTGTAAACGAATTTAACGAATCTAATGCTATTAACTGTTTAAGCACAAAAAAACTTTTTTTTTCATGCAATAAATACTTTAAATAGATAATAAATAAAAAAGTTATAGTACTTTAAAAAGTTCACTTTTAAATCAATTATTTAAAACACTCTATGTTTGCGCCATTTACCGCGTCATAATGAAGCTCCTATTTCTATTGGTCACTAAAGAATCTGTGATACCGTAACACTAGACAGTTGATCGTTATCTTTTTCTAATAGTGACATTTATGATAGTTCTCTTTCTGAAATCGGATTAAAATTATGTTTTCATTTCTCATGATCCAAAAATTTCTAATTTCTAACCTCAAATCGATAAATAGAAATTATCCTTCCTCCATGGAAAATGCTTTTAAAAAAGTGTAATAAAATAAACATGTTTAATTTTGCGTTATATTAACAATATCTGGTTATATTTTCAAGTACTTAGTCCCTATGAGAAGTAAAAAAACAGTCTGATAAAATGTTTATAAAAGTTCCTCAATATCTAGACATAGACATTAAAAACAATAGTGGACTGAGGACTGTTGCAAAATACAAACTACCATCGTGCTGTTGTATTTATTTTGATGTAAGTAAAGATAATCTTGAATTGTTATTTGATATAATTTTATAAAACGTACCTAGTTGATCAATATAGATACCTACCTTTTTGCTTAACACTGATTCTGAGGGTACTAGTTTGTATTATTTTTTAGGTGGAAGAAAATGCAGAAAACTAGATCCATTTCAAAATTATGGTCCTTGTAGGAAAATTTGAAAAGAAAAAAATTTCAAAAAAATATTTTTAGATTAGATTTTGTGCTAGCTTTTAGAAAAAAAATATTTTTCAATTTCACTTAACACGCCCATTCTGGGCTCTTCCAACATATTCGGCAAACCATTAGACGTCGAGTGGATCCTTGTATTTTAGCTGGAGGTGCACACTTTGAACATCTGCTATGAAATGTAGTACTACTTTTATGTTATCACAATTTATTGCTTCTATTAAAATAATAAAAAAGTCAACACCCTGTATCTCATAAATGACAAAACCTATCACACATGTTTATAGGGGCTTTTCGTCTTAAAATTGAACGATGAATCTCCCATAACAATATTTCAGATTACTTTGGAAACATACAGTGCATTTCTTCCTGTCAAGCGATCTGAAAGTATTCCCTCTTCTATGACCTCAGTAGGACATGACCGATGTCTGGGTCATGCAGATATCCGTTTATTAATCCTAAATTTGGAAAATTGGAATGTTCTCTCCTTGTTATGTTAACATTATAAGATAGTTTTGGCTAAATGATTAGAGTCGATAATGGTTAAGTGTGAAAAGTTTTGTCTGAATTTAATTTTGTATTTCTTCTCTGAAAAACCGTTATAAAAAACAGGGTGGTTGTCCTTGTGTAGTCAAGGTGTAGTTTATGTGGGGGAAGGATATATTTTCCAATTGACATTTATATTTAAACAAAATGGCTGACTTCCGGTTTTACCGGAAATGCCATCAGGTTTGATTTTTTAAAGTATTTTTTTTTTGAATCTATGCTTCAAATTACGGTTGGCACAAAACTGATCGAAAACATTTAATTGAATTCATTTGATTGAAAACATTTGATCGAAAAAAATACGAATAACAATTGATCAAAAAGAAGAATGATGGAAAAGGAAAATGATCGAAAAGAAGAATGATCGAAAAGAAGAATGATCGAAAAGGAAAATGATCGAAAAGAACAATGATCGAAAAGAAAATTGATTGAAAATAGATTTGATAGAAAAAGCAATTGATCGAAAAACAAAATATACATAAAATTAGAACGAATAAAAAAACATAACTAATTTACCTAATCTAGAGTAATCGCTGGTTGCTTCGCAAAAAAATATACAAGAAATGAAAAAATAAAATAAAAACTAATTTTCCTAACCTGTGCGAGAGCAATCAGTTAAATTTAAATGGTTAAGTAAATTAGTTAAGATTGTTTACTTTTGTATATTTTTTTGCGAAGCAACCCTCGACGGCTCCAGGTCGCACAGGTTAGGTAAATTAATTGAGTTAAAACTTAATTGATTTACGAGAACGAGAGCAATCTGTAAAATTTAAATTTCTCCAGGTCGCATAGGTTAGGTAAATTATTTAATTTTTTTTTTTAATTTTCTCATTTTCGTATATTCTTCTCGAGGGAAACCATGAAGGCTCCAGGCCGCACAGGTTAGGTAAATTAGTTGAGTTTTTTATAAAAAAAGTACCTAAAATGTCCCATGACAACTAGACTTAACTGAAATACTTATTTTGTGCGAAATAATCACAATTTTTAATCTCAATGATGATAAATAATCATTTTGCTCTGAAAATATTAATTTGTAAATTAACAGTATTGTAAGAATAAAATTTGTTATATGAGGCAGCCTATCATTTGAGATTATCGAAAAATTTGCCATTAATACCTAATTTGATGATAGCCGCTGAGTTTAGTTTCCCCGGTAATATGGGTTAGACGGACGGTTGCATGGTGTTTTATTTTTAATATTTTACTATTTTCAATGTTCATTTTCGATATATTGTCCTTTCGATGAATTTTAGATCTACTGACTTTTCGATAAAATGTTATTCGTTAAAATATACCTTCAATCAAATGTTATTCAATAAAATATAACTTCAATCAAATGTCATTCGATAAAATGTAATTTCGATCAAATTTCCAATTCTAGCAAATGTTTTTCGACCAATTTTGAGCCACCCTCAAATTATGTCAGTATTACCAAATTTTATTTTTCTCCAATTTTTTTTTATCACAAATCTTTTTTTTATTAAGTCATAAACTGGAAAATAATGTTGTAATAGCCTCCGAATAACTCGAGCCAAAAGCTATTTTACCAATCACTTTTTTAAATGACATCTAATGAGTGCCATTTCGCCTATAGATAGAAAACGTTATTACCAATCTGACAATATTCACCATGTTCCACTCAGAACATTATCCTTTAGTTCACGGTTTTCCATACAAAAAAAATAAATAGACAATTTGGAAAAATTAAAATTTGGCAACATTGCCATATGTAATTTGACCAGTAGATGCCAAAAAACATAAAATATACAGGGTGATTCATTTAAAATATCAAACTTAATGGCATGTCCAGTAAAACAGGAAGTCGGCCATTTTATTTAAATATATGTGTCAATTCATGGTCAATCCTAAATCATGTCTAGTATGATTGTTTCAAATATCTTCATAAATAAAAGAGATATTAATGTGGCCCTAGTATCATTGTCACCCGGTATAATTTTTGTCACACAAAGGCGGCAGGTAAATTACTTTATCACCAACCGTCACTAAAGCACTGCAATCACTGTAAAAATCAAATATTTTATCTGCCGCTAATATTTGTCAACGTAGCCATGACCGTCTGACATAAATAGTATGTAACTGATTTGTTTTGTAGTCGGTATCATTTTTCTGTTTGTTTACTTTGTCATTCTAAAATATGTTATATCTCCTTTTTATTAACTATAATGTTTTACAGTTGGCGATAAAAGTTTGTATGAACCACGTCAGCAAAGTATCTTTATCGAACACCTCTGTTACTCGGCTCACTCGCTTCTCTCGCTCAGCTCATAATCTCAGACTAATTCTATAAAGAATCACTTTGCTGACTGGGTACATAAATAACTGTTATGATACACCGAGAGAAACATTGTTTCGCGGCACCCTGCAGTAGCCTGGGGCTGTTATAGGAAACGTACGAATACAAAAAGAAGTGCAATGTCACCCATCTTCCTACAGTGTGCTGCGGTCGTCATAAGTAAAAGTACGAGTAAAAGAAGAAGATAGAATAGTCCAAAAATGTCATTCCAAGTCAAGAAAAATCTAGACAGTTCGAGAAGGTTCGAGCAAGCTATATAAGTCAATGATCCTGACGTCAGTTTTCAGTTTTATGATAGACGTTATATGTTAATGTTATGAGTTGTATCGTTATTGTAGAAGTTGAGTTAAAATAAATTGAGATACCAAAAACCTGCGTAACAATATTGTAAAAGTAGGGTTTGAAAAATAGTATTTTTGTATTTCTTAAATTTGTAACGGTTGGAACCGTTATTCTTACTTTGACACATTCACCTCTACTCAAATGTCATATTTCGTCTTCTTTTTCAAGGTAATTCGAGTTATTTAATAACCTGACCCACTCCCAAAATCAATTGAGCTTAAAACACTATAACAAATAGATAAAATATCAAGTATCACGTTACAAATTCAAATATTTTTATTATATTTAAATAAATTTGTAAAGATTGTATATCAGCTTCTAACATGCTGGAACATCAGAAATCGAAACAGAAAGTGTGAGGATGGATGAGGATTTCAGAGGAAGTATAAAGGATGTATGTATGTATGAGGATTTCCGAAGATGTATGAAGGATTTATGAGGAGTTCCGAGGATTTATATGGAAGTATGAGAATGTATAAGGATTTAGTTGTCAAAACGATATAGGTGTACAAAATTTACCTGGGGAATGTGTTTGGATTTATCGGGAGAATCTCCATGCCAGATTTTGAGGCACATCTAGTATACAATTTTGTTTTTTTTTGCAGAAAATTTATCGGAAAAGCCGGGAAACAATGTTTTTCTACAATCACTATCCAAAGTAGGCTTTCCAGCTTTGAAATCCAACCGCAAAGTTGACGTTTTCTACGAACTGACATTAAGTGACAGCTTTGTTGCTCACCTAATTTAAATTAGCTATAATATATTTCTGTTTAATAAATGATTTTCAAGTTATTTGTACGTAGTTACATGTTTTTTTTTGTTATATTATTCAAGTTAACATAGACTTTGAATATCAACCGCTTTTTTCATCATTAAAGTAGGTATAGGCAACACATTATACAGTATACATTACTTACGACAAATGTTCAGTTTTTATATATATTTCTTAAAAAAATATAATCATAGAAAAAATATTTTGTGCATTTTGAGCAAAAAGTTCGTTGCCGCTACGCGTTGCGCGGGAAACTTACTGCCTCAAGTGGCCAAGTATCACTTTTCACTCTTAATTCACAAATAGCTATTTTCTATATTATCTTCAAACGAAAAGAAATTTTCCGAAACAGATAAATCCGTTATCAAGGAAAACCGCTTTCCCGAAGGAAAATATAACATTTTCTGACATTCGACAGAGAAAATTTCAATGTTTCGGAAGTGTCGAAATTCGTAACACTTACTTAGATTCTTTGTACTATCAATTTTATTTACTAAATACATTAATAGTTATTCTATCAAAGGACATATTTTTAAAATTATTTTATGGATTATTTCAAAAGCTAAAGTTGTATTCTACTAAATGAAATATGTAGGTATATCTTCACAGGATTTATAAAAAATTTAGGATGCTTAAATATCAATTGTTTTTTTGACATATTCGATGCCTTAAATATTTATTAATGAATTAGTCAACCCTGTATAAAATACAAGTAATCCTATTAATCCGCGTTAGATGTTACTAAGCGTTATCATAATTTTTTTCTCATTTAAACAACAAACCTAGGTAGTAATAATGATTTTTTTGTATGTATTTTCATTCCCCAGTCAATAAATAATGAAACGAATACATGTTAATAATATAATACTTATAAAAACGTATTGGCTTATGTCCATCTTTACTAAAGTTATAAATTCCCGTATATGCAAAAGTTCATTCAAAATGCGCAAACGCATTTAAACAGTGTTTGTTATATTTCCTAAATTTTCTCTTTCCACGACTTGTGCTTGAAAATACTTCAATAAACAACCAGAAATCTTACCATCTCTTAATTTCTGTTCCGTTCTAATGAGATCTTTGACTCGAATAATTTTCGTCCCTAGGTGTTCCACAATAGCGTTCGTCTTCGGATCCAGGCCATCAGTGTCGTCTTCCTGTTTTAACTCATTGCTGCCGTTGGACATGAAGGATGAAGGATAATCAACAGGATCGTATTCCTGAAGAAACGCCGCGCCGGCTCCACTCTCGTCTAAGAGGTATACCTGGAATATGAGTGATAGAAAATCGTTTGTAGTATTGCATTAGAATGGCAAAATTATGACTTAATGTGTTTAAGGTTACTGTTTTAATTGCCTTGAAAACAATACATGCAGTTGTAATATTTATGGGGTATTATTAAATCAGAAATTAATTGTTTTTTTTTTCAGGTATGCATTGTTTTTATGTATGTACCAATACACATCGAAAATACATTTATTTTTAAACATACCTACATCTAGTAAGTAAAAAATAGTCAATACATCGTCACCAGATTTATAAACTTAGCAATAAATTAAATAGGATCATATTAACTTACTTGATTTATTGAGTCATCTAGCTCACTTGGGGGTACTGTAGAACTTGGAGCTGTACGATTTAGACTGCTAGTGGGTGAGCGATGCTGACGAGATGGCCGCTGTGGCGGTATGACACCTCCTCCGCCTCCATCTTGGCTCTGGAAAAAAAATATTTGGAGTCACTCTACAGTCAGTCAGTTTAAAATCCATTTGTTGGCGTGGAATACTCTTCTTTTCCTTAGGTTTCATAGTTTATATGCTGCATTGCCATTAGCAATTCTCTTTTTACTTTCCTATCTGTATTCAGATAAGAAAAGTATAGGAATCATGGTTTTTTCGACCACGAGTTTTCATCATTTCTATTGAAAGGATTGTAAAAACTGATTGATCAGTATGTCCGGCAAACCACTCTGGAGAGGCAATTTTATACAAACCAACGTGCCTATCAATCAGCAAAATCTTGTGAGTCTGCTCTGCAACATCTTGTAACCAAGGTAGAGGGGGACTCACTAGCCAAGAAATAGTCCTAGGAGCATTTCTTGACGTAGAAGGAGCTTTTGATATCACCTCCTTTTAAATAATGGAAGTTGCCGTTCGAAAACATGTTATGCGGACGGCAAATTCAGGCACAAATGTTCGATGAAACCATGCAGGTGAATATCCACAAAGGATGCCCAAAGAATAAAGTCCTTCCTCCTCTACTGTGGAACCTAGTTCCAGATTAACTGCTGAGAACACTGAACATATACGCCCAAAGATATGCCGATGACACAGTCATCATTATTTGAAGGAAACACTAAACCACAGTCTTCGAACTCATGCAAAGTACTCTAAGGCTGACAGAAATGTGGTGCCTTAAGGAAAACCTCTTGGTAAATCATGATAAGATACAACTCACAACATTTACTCAGAAAACAAAGTTGGAGGTCTTAGAAACTACGGCCCTGTTTGGAGGAAGGCTAAAAAGAATGATCCAAGTAAAATATCTGGGTCTAATCCTAGATAGCAAACTTACTTGGACTCTAACACTTACAAAAAGCGACCAACAAATATAAAATGTCTTATTGTAGGGAGGCGGATAATTGGGAAAACATGGGGATTAAAACCGAAAATGGTCCACTGACTATATTCGGCAATAACAAGACTAATGATAACTTAGGGTGCGGTTGTTTGCCAAAAGTAAACCAGAAAACACCCTCAATAACCATATCAGAGGCTGGCATGCCTTTGTATTACAGGAGCACTGAGAAGTTAACCTCTCACCCCTTGACCTAGTCATAAAGGGGAGGCCAGAATGAGTGCATCTCCAACAACTGGAACCCACTGGGATATATAAAACATATCAGAATAACACATGAGGTAAATGATCCTATATTAAACATGGGATCAGATCATACGCCTAACCTTCAAGAGACTTCCAGGTTAACAGCAACTGAAACGAGGTCTCGTATGGTATACGGATGGATCTAAAATTAACAAGGAAACAGGCTCTGGAGTGCATGGAGGTAAACCCAAATGCGACATCATCGTCTCACTGGGAGAGAATTTAAGAAGTACAAAACCAAACCATCTTAATTCTCTCAGATAGCCAAGCAGCCTTAAGGTCCTTGGTTCAAACAGAATCAAGCCAAAGCTGGTCTGGAATTACCTTGGAATACTAAATGATCTGTCAATTCACAATAAGGTAAAACTAGCGTGGATATCAGGACATAAAGGTATCCAAGGAAATGAAAAGGCTGATAAACTCGCCAGAAAGGGGGATTAGAACTACCATTCACAGGACCCGAACCTGTATTTGGGATAAGCAAAACATCTACTCGACAGGCAGTGAACTGGTGGATAACCACAAAACACGGTTCTATTTCCATTTTTCTTTTTGTTGAAGGAAAACAGCGTAATGGTTTCTGAATTAATTCGAGAAAGAATTAATGGTCAGGTTGGCGGTGTAAGAATTACAAATACGACGACGTCAATATTTTAGCCAAAACATTTGGATCGGACCAGTCAGCTGCCTGTCAACGATACGACGGCGGTGGGCTTTAGATGTCTTATTTATTAGCGATAAGGATTGTGTTTCTTATATTATAATTATGTATTGAGTTTCTAAGGCGATGTGGCTTGGACAATAAGGGACTTACATTCCTGAAGGGAATGTCAATTTTTCTTGTTCAAGTTTAATTTTGAAAAGAGATTTTGTGTTGAAAATATCAAGATTTCTTACATGCAAATATTGTTTTCCTACAGTTCACGGGAGCGCAAAGGAACTTAAGAAATAACTTTTGAGAGGAACAACACTTACCACTGGTCGAAAGATAATGGAAGGAATATTGAAGGAACAAACCTACATCGAGTGAATGAATTTAAGTATGGAGTTACCAGCAATATTAATTACTGAAATTTTGTTTTTATTTAATAAAAAAAACGTTGCCTTTACAAAGATTTTTTATTATAAATAATTTCATTACCCATGCCTTCAAGGAAAGCATTATTTCCAACTGTCAGCTCACAAACTCCACTAAATGCTGATTTGAAGATCCATTGTTCAATCCACTGACGTCAAACTTAATTTAACATGTGCAGTCGACAATAGTTTTAATATTTTAAAGCACACTACATTTCTACACCGAAATATTGATTACCTGATTCACCTCGTTTCTTGCAGTTCCATCGAATAATTTATTATAAGTGCTTTCTTAAAAGTAATGTGAAATATTGCTTATTGTTAATTTATTGAAAGAAAATGTCTTATAATATACGTTCGTTTTGTATTTTAGGTAGGATTTAAACATTAAATGAAATGTGTGAGAGTATCTCATAAACACTCTGTATAATCGGAACCATTAAAACTGGGTTATACATACTCAGGGACTCATCAGGAGTATCAGGACATTCCTCATAAAACAACAATGCTGGCAACAGAAAAAGTAGACCATTACATTTAAATGGTAGTATGTGGGGGATAATAATAATACTCCCCCTAATTCACTCCCGTACGAGTGAATTTCAACACCTGAAGCTATTATTATTTGCAGTGGCGCTCCGGGGCGACTTAAAGATGATTGATGGCGCAATTTGACTTACAGGCGAGGAAAACCCAAAAACCCCACCCACCATCATCGAAAACGGTAACGCATAACGATTTTTATAATCTGAAATTAAATTTCTGTTAATACGGCATCCATCAAATCTTATAGAGGAACCATGCAAATATATTCACATGGTCTTCTGTAGGATTCGAAGCCCGGTGTCCATCTACCACAAAATTGGCTCGCAACTGAATGCGAGCGCCGTAGACACCTACGCTACCGTAGTCGATGTCCAGCTATCCTTGCCCATGATATTAAACACAAATATTGACAAATACAACCTGCAATTTATTTAAAGAATATATTTTTCGGCCTGTTTCAATAGTTAAATTATCTATGCATGTACGATTAAGAATAATAATTATCTCTATTTTGAAAAAGTGCCACATAACAATGAATCATATTTTGTTATGTGATATCATATCCATATCAGTGACTCAATATTACTAATTAAGTATTTTATGCCAAACACCTGCATATACAGAATGTTAATTTAAAAACAACAGTTGTGATACATATAAACCAATTCGTAATCAAATATTATCAAAGTTAATTTAGCGAAGAAAAAAATAATAAAAATTTCTTTTCTGTGACCTTCAATGAAATCTGTATAAATAATTCATTTCTTTTTAAATAATGTAATACCCTCCTAATAATATGATATATGTCAGTAATAAGACAACAAAGGCGTACATGTATGCTTTTTCTTAGACAAATCTTATTGTTAATTAACAAATAAATGACATTCAATTTCATCACATATTAGATAAAAAACGAATAACTGGTGACAACTGGAATAATTGTGCCTTTTTAAGAAGATTTCTTCAACACCAAATATATGTATACCCAACGACAAAAAACTAGTAGACTAATCCATTCATTCATAAATAAGCCCTATTTTATTGCAATCATTCATATTGTGTTTATTGGTACGCAGAGCTGTCGCATCTGCTGTCGCATTAGTAAGAAGGACTGCTAATTTGAGTGGGGATGATTTGTGCGAATATGTTTATCTGCGGAGCGTGTATGCGTTTTATGAATGAATCAGTATTTACGTCTACTATGCTTGCATTACACTACTGTCACACTTCAAAATTAATTGCGTACTTTCCTGAAAAACACTATACAACTATATTAGTTGGAATGAGAAAAAATACATTAAACTGATAATAACTAGCACTAAAAATGCAAATTTATTTCCCTAATGCAGTGTTACTCAAAATGTGCTCCGCGGAGCTCTGGAGCTCCGCAAATACTTTGTGGGGGTCCTGAAAAAAAAAAACAAGCAGTACTATCGGTTCTTTTTTTTTTAGAAGTCACTAAGATGAAGGAGGATATGATTTTGCTCGAGGACTTTTTTTTTTTTAGAAATGCGTTTAGGGCTCCGTCAAATATTTCACTTTTCAAAAAGGTTCCGTCCCCAAAAAAGTTTGAGAAACACTGCCCTAATGTAGCTTTGAAATATTTTGTGCGCTTTAGAGCCTTATGTTTAGTCAATACCGAATTAGAACCATAAACAATTCTTGTAACAATACTCTCCCATACTCTCTCTCTCTCTCTCATAATAATTTGACAACTACGTAGATGACACCGTGAATGTTTGCAATTCGACTTTTGTAAACAAAATTAGTCTAGTAGTTGTTCGTCGTTGGTATAACCCTTATGGCTCCTACACATGATCGGCCATCATGGGCGATCACAGACGAGTACCATCGTGTGGAGGGCCTATTTGTCTGTGATCGTCCATGATTGACAATGATCGATGAGTTGTCTGTTTTTTACACACGGATCAAAGGTAATCTCATGTAGTTGCTTTTGTGTTTTCACGATTGCTGATTTGTTTGAATTTGAGTAGTAGGTACTAGAAATAATTTACAATGTAATTAACATTATTTATATGATGATTGTACGCACAAATCACATAAAGATCAATGCAATCATCATGGCCGATCATGTATATGAGCCATTAGGCCAGTATCTAGCAACAAATGCATCATAAGATTATTCCAGATAGAAAACGTTGTGGAACAAACCGAATATCGTTGATGTCATTGATTTAGTTATTTATTTTG